ATATATTTTAAAAGTATTTAACACAGAATGTTTTAAAATAAGAAAAGCAAGTAGGAAGATCGAGTGCTACAGCAGGAAAATGGAAGTTATATTCTTTTAAATGCCCACTTTACCAGTAGATGGCATGCTATCTTATACAGATCTCATTTGTTTCCACTCAAAAAACTATTTAGGAAATAATTATATTGTTTGTGAAGTGTTATATTATTCAGTTCCTAAATATATTGTAGTCATATGTTAATAATCTTGAAGTAGTGAGAATATTGATCAACTAACATTCAACTCAACAGTGATACCGCTAGCATTACAGCTACTTGCAATACTGTAAATAAACAATAACGATACTATACCGAGATGATAGCTCTTAATCACAACACAAGCACTTTGCCTTCTGGGTTATTTATACTGTAGGAATTCATTACCAACACGTCACAGTTGTTAAGTATGAATTCTGGGCTATCGACAGCTGCTCAAAAATTATTAAAACAGTAAGATTATTGCTAACAAAAGATATGCAATTATGTACTTAAAAATAATGATAGTTTTGACAGTAAAAGCATCAAGTCACTTACACACACACACATAAATCCCTAAATATGCTGATTAAAAAATATCCTTTTCAATTACTCTCCAAAGCTGATAATTTACAGGTTTTAGCATCTGTTATTCAACATAGTATACTTTGTTTAATGGACTCTTATCACCATAATCAGTATCTGCTTAAATAATGCCTGTTAACCCTCTGAACTGTGAATGTTCTCTTTTAAAGAGTGGAACATGATAAATTTATGCAGTTTGCAATGAGTCCATTCATTGTTTTTCAAATTGTTTTCTTGGTCCAAAGGAAGAAGCCCTGTCTGACATCTCTTTTAAGAAGAGGTTGGACAATTTTTTTCTGATATGGTGTAGGATTTCCTGCTTGAGCAGGCGCTTGACTAGAAGACAACCAAAGTCCCTTCCAACTCTGTTATTCTGTAAATCCTTTATCACCTTCTTCTCAAATTTCTGCTTTGTATTCCCTCTTCCTGACTCACCTTCTGCTCCACCAGCCCTTTTTCGCTCCTGTGAGGTCCTCATTTTTATTCTTCTCCTATCGTACTATCTTCTATCCTAGGATGATGGTTGTTCGTTTAGACAAATCTCTCCTTATGTGCTCCACAAAACTTTTGACACTTCATTGTTTTCTAATTCATCTTGAAGCTCACTCAAGATCATGTTGCTTCAGTTTACTTCTGCCTCTATTCTCTTCTGACATCTTTCTCCTTTCTTTGTTGTTCCCTTGTTTTTAAACATTTTCATGGGTAAACTAGCCAGAGTTTCTGGAATTGGGTGCCGTGTAAAATAAAATAAATACATCTAATTATTTTTGGCAACTTGTCCTCTTTATGTTCTGCAAAGCAATTTAAATGCTCCCATCTTCCATATTCTGGGTTATAATTCCAGGAATTTTGAAAGGCACTATTACTAAAGGAAAAAGCATTCTTGCCATATTGCTGGAAAGTTTTCCTAATTCTCAAGCCTTTCTACTGGTTATGTCAGTCCTTTGAATAAATTTTTTCACATTTCTCAGAGATGTTTGTTATTAACCTCTAGTTAACATGTTTGAAATGGTTATGACAGTTCCGTTTTAGTGGTATAATCTGCAATGCATATGTATGGCTTCTCATGCAAACTTTCAAAGCAATTATGACTCTGAGATATTAACCAAGCTATTTTAACTATTTTCTTGCTTAATAAGTTGTCTCTGGAATTATATTTGCGTATTATATTCCCAATGAAGGAGTGCGCATAGTTGAATTCTCTTCTATTTTAGTGAATCTGAAGGAACAGCTGTTCTACTTTTGATCTTGATGGAGAAGTTGACCCCATTTCCCAAAGATTGGATTCTTGCACTAGATAATAATTTAAAACAATGCTTTTAAAGCTTCAGAAAATTCCACTGACAAGTCAAAATAATCATCATCTTCATCATCATCTTCCTGAATTATCTTAAAATATTATATGGGGGGGGGTAACTGTTATTTGCAATATACAAATCTCCGGTTCTTGACTCAACTTCAAAGTTTTGAAAATTGGAGATGCATGGAAAAAAAATAATGGGATTTAGCTTCATGTGTTGCATGAAATAATTCCTTTTGGTTAAGGTGCTGAGTAATTTTACCTTCTCTTAAACCAAAAGCTATTATGTTCCAAAATATTTTTTTTGCAGCCGAATTTGCCTTATGGGTCAGAATTGCAGTAATGACAAACAAAAGAAAATGCTTAGTGCTGTGCTATTTGTTTTCAAAAAAATAGATGCTCTTAAGATTCCAAAGATTTACTTCTGAGTGCACATTAAGGGAACAATGGATCCTACATTTTTCTTTTCCCCCCCTTAAATTCATCTTGATTTTTGACCAACTTGATAGTTTGCACACTGAATTTCCTGAGCAATGGAGTACATTTTAGATACTATTGCTTTTTTATTTATTTAATTCATGTAGGTTTTACGGCACTTTCGGTCTTTATTGCATTCTGAGGCACTTTAAATGCTTTTAGGAATAGAAATGGATACTTCAAATACTAACAACAACAATCGGAAGGTACATTTATACCATAGGCACAAGTCCAATTCATTTCACACACAAAGATATGTGCATAAACACAAAACAATTCTCTTAGCAATAACTAAAATTATACAAAAATATGTTCCATCTCAAAAGTTTGTAAATACTGAGCAATTTATTGGGGAAAATTCCTCATACATTACAACTGTATAAGTGATGGATATCAGATATAAATCTGAAGAATATATTAAAAATATTTTAATATGTTAAGTCTATTTCATTCTCACCTACTTCTAATTCCATTACATAGTTCTATTATTCTGCAAAGCTCCTGAAGGCAGGACAAGCAATGGATGGAAGTTAACCAAGGAGAGAAGCAACCTAGAACTAAGGGGGAATTTCCTGACAATGAGAACAATTAATCTGCAACTTGCCTCCAGAAATTGTAAATGCTCCATCACTGGAAGCTTCAAAGAGACTGGACTGCCATTTGTCTGAAATGGTATAGATCTCCTGCTCGAGTAGCGCATTAGAACAGAACAGTTCTCAACCTTTTTAATGCCGCGACCCCCCAACCGGTCGTAAGTCGAGGACTACTCAACCGGTCGTAAGTCGAGGATTACTCAACTGGTGCAGCACCGTTTGCAGAATGGGGCTTTTGGCGGGCTCAGTAGGGCAGAGATAGCCTGGACAATTCCTATTGGCTTTTGAAAGCCAATAGAATTAGACTCTATTCAAGAGAGTCTATTCTATTGGCTTTCAAAAGCCAATAGAATAAAAGGGAGTAGCACAGCTAAGGAAAAGGGAGAAAAAATGGCGGACTGCATTGTTTGGCGACCCCCGTGAAATAGTCGTTCGACCCCAAATGGGGTCCCGACCCACAGGTTGAGAACCACTGGACTAGAAGTTTTCCAAGGACCTTCCAATTATTATTCTGTTATTCAAGTCCAACCTCTTTCCTATATTTTAAGATTCATGTAAATGTGGATTTGATTTCATCTCAAGGCAAGATCCTTTTATAAAAATTGGGATACAAGTGCTTAAACACAATGTTATGATTAGGAAAGTAATCACCACTTTTAACACCATCACACAGTTGATATTTATCTGAATGTATTAGCTGGCCAACTACAATGGAGCTGATCCTCCAGATCTGATTGCAAGGACAAATTGGAGCATCCGAATCATGACAGGAGGAAGGCTATGAAATGAAATATGACATATAGCAATATGCTCATCCAGACAGCCACTGGGGAGCCAAGGTTGGCTTGGGGGTCCAAAATTGTTATTCTGATTGTTATTCCGATCCCTATTGCATATACATCAAAAGGCCTCGAGCCATCTCATCAAACAGGATGGAGTTTACAGCAGGGGTCCCCAACTCCATGCCAGCAACGGGTCCGCACAAACAAGCAAGCCCCATCTGTGGGATGCATGTAGGCAGCACACAAAACCACACACTCTCCAGTCCCCGAAAAAAACTTTCTCCATCGATCCGGTCCCTGGTGCCCAAAAGGTTTGGGACCTCTGGTTTAGCGAACAACCGCTGGTAAGATACTTGCATCGTCTCTTTCTCAAATGCAACCTGCGTCGTCAGACCAGCAATATTCATCCCTGGAACAACTTTTCTTTTTTCCTTCTGCAGTTTGGTTGAGGGCACCCCCGTTTTTGACTCTCCAGCAACGCCTGCCGAACTTAGCAAGTGAAACAACGGCAAACGGATCAGGTGCTTGCAATCCGGGGGACAGGGTAATCGGCGTCACTGCCTAAGTCATTTGGGGACCAGTCTTCCTGCAGTCGTGCTGCCAGCACCCCCGTTTTAACGCTGCAGGAATTCACCCTGAATGGCAAGCGCGAGAGGTGACCAGGAGGGCGTCTCGCTCGCAGGTAACTTGCATAACCAAACTCTCTTAGGTCATCTTACCCCCCCTCCCCCCCCAACCTTCAAGTCCTGCACGAGTCCAGTTTTTGCATGCAACAGAAGAACGGAGCGGCAGCTGCAATTCAGGAGCGCTCAAGCTTTGGTTTTTTATTTTTCCCAATGGGGGAGTTAGCCGGGAAAGCCGCTCCCAGGCTGATTTTTAAAAGCTCAAACACGGGGGGGGACAACCATCCTTCCACCCACCCACCCCGTCCAGTTCGTACCCTCCCCTCCTTCCAAGTCGTTGCACGGCAGTTTTGCCTCCTATTCTTTGCAAAGAGGGGCGACCGCGGGGCCTTCCAACGGGAACAGGTGGGAAGCCTCCCCCTTGCATCCCCCCCCCGGAGACCCCCAACCACGCCTGCGGGAAAGCGAAGGGGCGGCATGCAGCGCCGCCCCTCCCCCCGACACTTTCTCCTCTCCCCCTCGCCCCCCCCCCGCTTTGCAAATCCCAGGAAAGCCTGGCGGACTCGAGCCCCGCGCCGCCGTTCCCGGAACGAGCCACTCCTCCCTCCCCCGCCGGCCAAGGCTGGGCTGCTGCCGGCCGAGCATCGCCCCGCCGCTGTTGCTGCTGCTGTTCTCTCTGCGCGCGCCAGCGGGACCCCCTCCCGCCGCCGCGCGCGCGCGCGCCTGCCTCCCAAGCCGGGGCTGTTCCTCGCAAGAGTCTCTCGCCCCCCCGAGGCTGAGAGGCGGGGGCAGACTGTCCCGGCCGGCGCTGATCTCGAGCGGCGATTGGCCGCTGTCTACGCTGACGTCACGATCATGATGAGAATTAATGATCGGAGGCGCTGATTTCATTGTGTGACGCCGGGACCGACCCAGCCGAAACCGGCTGAATTCGGAGCCCTGGGGCCCCCCGCGGCAGCCCCGCCCGCCCCGCAGAGCACGGTGGGTTCGGCGGAGGGGGGGTGGGCTGGGGGGGAGGGGAGGGGGAGGGGCGGGAGGTCGCGCGGCCCCGGAGGGGGGAGGGGCAGCGGTGGGAGGAGAGGGGGGGGCTGGCGGGCAGCCGGCCTTCCCGCCAGGCCTTGTCGAGGGTGGGCCTGTAAGAACGTCCCCTCCTCGGTTTACGGCTTGGCGGGGAAGCGGGGGGGGGGAGTCGACGGAGAAGGGAAAGAAAAAAAGAGAAAAGAATTGACGAGTTTCGGGGCTTCAGTCTGGAGCTCGCGGAGCAGAACTCGGGGCGCGCATGCGTGCCGCTCGCTTCGCTTCATCTGCGGCAAGAGACGCTTTGGCGCGAGGGAGGCTGCGCCTGCGCAAAGGAGCGCCCCGTCGCCAGACTGCCCTCGCTTTACGTGGCTTTTGTACGTAAAGTCGATTTGGGCGGGGAAGGAGGGGGGAGGTGGCCGGCGAGGTCCAAAATACCCTGGCTTGTTTTTCATGCAATCCGCCGGTTCTTTTATTTTTGAAAGTGGCTTGCAAAGGTATCTTATATGATCTGTCGAAGAAGCAGTTGGGAGAGGGGGAGAAGCAACGAGGTTGCCTTTTGAGTCGTCAATCTGTCTGCTAAATAATACCGAAATAGGCTTGTCTATTTTTAAAAGTTATTCCAGTCTCTGCACCAGTGCTTCTCGTGCTATAAATTGCCATAAGAGGAAAATATAACAGTTTATTAGTGTGTGAACCCAATAAGAGTTTCCATATATTTCATAGTGTTTCATAGGAATTTCATAGGAAGCCAGGCAATTGATTTCATTCAATCAAACTTGGTTTGTTAAGCCACGGATGAGTGCAGTATTTTTCAACCTTGGACCTCAACTCCCAAATTCCTCAACCAGTAAGTTCACTGGGGGATTCTGGGAGTTGAAATCCACACATCTTAAAGCATGCTGGCTGAGGAATTCTGGAAGTTGGAAGTGCAGACATCTTAAAGTTTGCCAAGCTTGAGAAAGGCTGGGTTAAAATATTATGCAAACCATGCCAGTTAATATGTATCAAAAGGTTACATCTAGGCTACTGCACTAATGATCTTTCTAGTAATCAAGTGATTAAGTAATACCTCTTGTAATGACAGACATTATTCTATACTAGTCTTTTCCTACAACAGTAGAAACTGATAAGTGGTTTGAAAAAGGAAGCATTGCAAGCTTCTGGTATTTCAGAAAACCAATTTGCTTAATTTCATTTCATTTAAATGTAAAGATGAGTTTGCATTTCCCACTAGGAAATACATGAAATAGGCCCTTTGTATTGTCTGATGTGTCTTTAGAGCTTAATTTGACTTGGAAATGAAATCTGTATTGGATTAGTCAGCTCAGTGTGGTAAGAAAATTATAAGTTTTCCTACAGAAAACATATTGCATCTTCAACATATATGTCCAGAGTAGACACAGTAGAACAAAGGAAGCTAAAAAAAAAAAATCAAGGATGAAAGTTGGCAGCAGTTAGGCAAACAGGTGTCTGTAGGAATAAAGTAAAATGGTTTTAATGTCATACCTCAAATGCAAAAGCATGAATGGCATGTGAGCTTTGTGGAATATACCAAGCCAAGGCAAGGTGTCATATTGAGAGGAGCCTTGTTGCTGGTCTTTGAATACAGCAGAACAAGCAGTTATGCTTTTGGTGAATGAGCAGGTTCATGTGCCTGTGCATGGGTCTTTTGTGGTTTCAGTTATTCCTTTCGTACTTTTTAACTATTTGAATAGTGACCAGAAACATGTCAAAAATCAATGTAAGATCCTTCAGTTTGGGGAAAGGTACTTCTATGATAATGAACGCTTGCTGCCATATTAAAAGGCCGTCAATTGGATTTAGATGGGTGGCTATGGAAATTGAATGAATGAATGAATGAATCGATGGATGGATAGATGAATAAATAAATAAACGATTCGGCTGATATTGGTGTTCTGTTGACTTGTACTTTGAATTACAGAATTGCTTAATAATTTCAGGGAGCGAGATGTGGCTTCAGTGCTTCAGTACCCACCCGTGATCTGCAATATGGAGGCAATAGTGAGGGGTTGCTTACATGGTTATATATAAAGTGCTTTGAAGTCATGACATGAAATTATATAATTTATCTAGTCTAATTTTAAGCTGGCGTCAGGCCAAGATTGCTTTGATCACTCCCAAAGCTGGCAGCTGTAAGGGAGAATACATCCCTGTTGGTTCCAATAAATCTTTCAGACACTTTTTCCCTATTATCAAGCCTCATACCCTTCCTGGCCCCCTGAGTGGGAGATACCAGTTTGCGGTGTCTCTCCTCCATTTTAGAAATTGGTATCTGAAGTTGGGAGGGGAGGAAGGGAGAGAGGTTTCAAATCCAGCTCTTTCTCTCTTTGCCTATTTTCTTTTTCAGAGTTCAGTATTAAATACTACTCAACACTTATTTAAAATAATGAAAGAGATAACTGGGAATTGCACTATTACAATGATTATTGGTGGCAGGGTCAGTCAGATGGTTATACCCTCTCTTTTGTACATATAATTCAAGATGGTAAAAATACTTGGTTCTCCCTGCCCTGTCCTATTTTTTCCCACCACAGCCCTGTGAGGGCTTAAGTTGGGCAGAAAGAGAGAGAGTGCCTGGACCAGAAGTAGGCAACCTTGGCTCTTTTATGAGTCCTGGACTTCAACTCCCAGAATTCCTGAGGCAGCCGTGCTAAGGGGAAAGGGAGAGGTTTCCAAGCTGAGCCATGCTGGCTCAGGAATTCTGGGAGTTGAAGTCCACAAGTCATAAAAGAGTCAAGGTTGCCTACCCCTGATCTAGGAGGCTCACCGTTTAGAACAGGAGGACTGAGGACAGGGGTAGGCAACCTTGGCTCTTTTATGACTCGAGGACTTCAACTCCCAGAATTCCTGAGCCAGCCATGCTGAGGGGAAAGGGAGAGGTTTCCAAGCTGAGCCATGCTGGCTCAGGAATTCTGGGAGTTGAAGTCCACCAGTCATAAAAGAGCCAAGGTTGCCTACCCCTGGCCTGGACCAAAGTCATCCAACTAGCTTTCATACCTAAGAGAGACCTTGAATTCACCATCTCCTGGTTTCTTGACCATCACTTTAACCACTATGTCAAACTGGCTCTCATATTATTATATTGCACAATAACAGAGTTGGAAGGGACCTTGGAGGTCTTCTAGTCCAACCCCCTGCTCAAGCAGAAGACCCTAGACCATTCCAGACAAATGGCTGTCCAGTCTCTTCTTAAAAGCCTCCAGTGATGGACCGTTACTTTGTTTCTCTTTTATCTACCAAGGTAGTTTTTGTTTTGAATCAATATCTGGCACAATAACAGAGTGGATATGTGCTAGTAAATTGAAACATTCAGTCCAAACAAAGACCCTTCTAATTAGAAAGTGAGGCTGGTTTTCTTTCTCAACTGGAGTTCTACCCAGTTGGTTGCAAACAAGCATTTCATCCTTTAACTTTCATATACTGGGCTATGTAGTTATTCAGTTTAGTATAATTTTTCTGTTCATGTCTTCCCCAAATAAACGTGGACAGTAGAGTAATATACTAAAGGAGAAAGCATACTAAGGCCAGCATCAATTTCTGTTGACTTTAGGTGGCAGTCTTTGATTAAAAGTTAGCTTATAGAAATTTGGGGGGAGAAATCACTCAATACAGAATCACTCATTACTCCAGAACCAGTGTTTGTATCTTCTTTGCAACGTTCCAGCAAGGAACAAAATATGTATTTTATAAAACACAATATGAGCACGAATGGTTCTGATAGGCTGCATTGCATCGATTATTTGTGTGTCCCTTGGGTTTTCATTCATTCATATCCCGCCTTTATTATTTTCACCAATAACTCAAGGCAGTGAACACACCCGACACATCTTCCTTCCTCCTCTTATTTTCCTCATAACAACAATCCTGTGAGGTGGATTGGGTCACCCAGCTGGCTAAATGCCTAAGGTGGGAACGGAGCTCACCGTCTCCTGGTGATTGGCCCTCAGCTGGCTTTCTTGGCTAAGGCAAGACTTGAACTCATGACCTCTTGCTTTCCAGCCTGGTGCCTTAACCGCTGGACCTAACTGACTCTCTCAATTATGGCAGTAAAGAGTAACATCTACTCCACCCGAGACCTATTCATCCTGGGCTTTGCTTTGTGGCTATAGTAATAGAATGCTCTATTTATTTGTTGTTTTCTGGCATGAAAATTACAAGGGGGGTTATACATTTATATGTTTTTCAATTAAGCGTGTGTTTTAGAGTGGTGCTTGTGTTGATGTGCCAATACTTGTGTTTTTGGCATCTTAATAAGGGGGGAAAATCCTCAGCATGGTTCTAGCCAATTTAAGCATTCTCTGGAACGGAGCATCTGGTTTCCTTCTCAATAAAACTAGAGAAGAACAAATGTGCAATTGAATTTGTCATAGTACATATAACGCACATTTTGTGACACCTTAAAGATAAAGAGATGTGTCATGTCATCAGTTTATATGTATCAGAACCTACTTGTGGAGTGATTGATCAGTGGAACGACTCGCCTCCAAATGTTGTAGGTGCTCCAACACTGGAGGTTTTTAAGAAGAGATTGGACAACCATCTATCTGAAACGGTCTACGCTTTCCTACCTGAGCAGGGGGTTGGACTAGAAGACCTCCAAGGTCCCTTCCAACTCTGTTATTCTGATATAAGGAGTTCAGTTGGCCTAGGTATAAGTCATTTAGATGATGCTGTCAATTTTTCTGAACTAGAAAAGTGCGTGCAAAACACCTTTGTGATCTGTTACAGGTACATCTGATGTGACCCCATTTATTTTAAAAAAACAGGTAGTCCAACATTTTTGTTAACCAGGCGAGATAGTTGATACCCGGGTTTTGCCCTATTTTATGACCTTTCTTGCCACCGTTGTTAAGTGAATCGCTGTAGTTGTTCAGTTAGTAACACTCTCGTGAAGTGAAGCGGGCTTTCCCCCCCTGTTGACTTTGCTTGTTGGAAAGTCGTAAAAGGAGATCACGTGACCCCCGAGACACTGCGACCGTCATAAATACGAGTCAAGTTGCCAAGCAGCAGAATTTTGATCATGTGACCGTGGGGATGTTGCAACCGTCCTAAGTGTGGAAAAACAGTCATAAGTCATTTTTTTCCAGTGCTGTTGTAACTTCGAAACGTCACTGGACAAACTCTAATATTGTGATAAGTCGAGGACTACCTGTAAGCTAATAAAGTAATCATGGTAAGGGTGGCTATTATCACGCAGCGTAAAAACAATAGTCTCAGTGTAATTTGTGAGTTAATGTCTGCTGTGGTGAATTATAGCATGCATGCCAGAAATAACAGCTAACTAGCCATCTTGAAATGGCTTCATCACACGTGTTTTCAGCATTGATTTTTTACCATTTCTTTGTTCACCGACTTCTATCGGAAGTCGTTTTCATTAGTGTTTGCTTTATTTCAGCTATTGACTTTTCAATCCGGCTTGATGTCTCTCTGTTTAAAAGAACGGAATCCATAAGTGCCTTTGAGAACCTGATTAATAATCTCAGTATATTGACGCAAAGTTGTCAAAAGAGCTTTCAACTTAGATATGGATTAGCATCTTGCTCACCTCTGTTCTTAAGGGAGTGAGCACACAACAGGGGCAGAAAACAGGAGAAGCAACAGCTTAAGCAGTGTCCATATTTTTCCTGGGGCCACACTACGCTGGTGGTGCAGCCTACGTCCTTTGAATGTCCCACAAAATCAGAGTACGTCTTAGCTAAAATCAGCAACTATGTTAAGAAAAATATGTTTGCTTGAAAGAATCTGATACAACATAACGTATGTTTGGCATTAATATAACAATGTTAATAGTGCTTAGACTTATATACTGCTTCACGGTGCTTTACAGCCCTCTCTAAGCAGTTTACAGAGCCAGCATATTGTCCCCAACAATCTGGGTCCTCATTTTACTGACCTTGGAAGGATGGACGGCTGAGTCAACCTTGAGCTGGTCAGAATCGAACTCCTGGCGGTGAGCAGTTAGCCTGCAATACTGCATTCTAACCACTGCACCACTATAGCCCTTCCTTTCTCCCTTCCCTTCCCACTTACCAATAGCACTGAGACTTAGATACCACTTCACAGTGCTTTACAGCCCTCTCTAAGCAGTTTACAGAGCCAGCATATTGTCCCCAACAATCTGGGTCCTCATTTTACCGACCTCGGAAGGATGGAAGGAAGGGTGAGTCAACCTTGGGCTCCATCAGGGTTGAACTGCTAGCTGTGGGCAGAGTTAGCCTGTAATACTGAATTCTAACCATTGTGCCACTATGGCTGTTATAGAGCAATAGCACTTAGACTTCTATACTACTCCACAGTGCGTTACAGCCCACTCTAAGAGGTTTACAATGTCAGCGTTTTACCCCCAACAATCTGGGTCCCCATTTTACCAACCTCGGAAGGACACTGCAACCGTCATAAATACGAGTCAGTTGTCAAGCTTCTACATTTTGATCAGTTGACCCTGGGGATGCCGTAACGGTCATACATCATTTTTCAGTGCCGTTGTAACTTTGAACGGTCACTAAGGGAACTGGTTTAAGTCAAGAGCAACCAACAAGAGCTTTGAGTTCAGTGATTGCATATCGGTCATCTCTGCAACTTTCCAAAGATCTGAGACTACAAATCACATGAGTCTCAGCCTGCTTAGCATTCTTGAGGGGCAATGAAAGAGATTCAGGTCAGGAAAAACTGCATTAGGTTTCACTTTTCCTTGTCGATTGTGTCTCTGGGATCAATAGAGAACCAAGATCTCTCTGTCTATCTGCAACTTCACCCAAGTGTCCATTTTCTTGTTGGTTGGTTGGTTTCTTTGAGCCCATTTTTCTTTTGCAAACAAACCTTTTAATTATTTCAATAGCATCAGAGTTTTGTTTGTGTGGAGCTACACTAATTCCTGGACGTGAATAGCTACTGCTTCATTTTGTTTGAGTGTGTTTGTAAACTATATATTTAAGAATATTCACAGGGGGAACAAGAATAAATTAGAGTCAGTCTGCTGTAGTTTTTTTCTATTTCTTTAGATAAATGGGAGCTTGTTCTTTTTTTTTAAAAAAAAATACCCTGTAAGTATTAAATTATTCCTATTTTCAGAGTATCTTCTTTTATTTTTAGATGAATCTGCGTTCTGTATTTACTGCAGAACAACAGAGGATATTGCAGCGTTACTATGAAAATGGAATGACAAATCAGAGTAAAAATTGCTTTCAACTCATATTACAGTGTGCCCAAGAAACTAAGCTGGACTTCAGTGTAGTCAGGGTAAGTACTGAAGTTTCCATGCTCAAATTTACATAACAGTCTTAACAGACACAGGTGTTTGCTTACCTTATCTACAGGGCATGGAGCCGTTTTAAAAAAAATCAGTAGCTTTATGCTTCAGTAGAACCCGTGTTTAGAAACTTTGCTTGAAAACCTGAGTTCTACTTTATTTATTAACTTTATTAAACTTCTATGCTGCCCATCTCACTGTTGCCTATTACAAAATGATAAAAAGGTTGATGAAAAAGTATATCATACAAAATGATTAAAATTTAAGAAGAGCATATTTATTTATTTATTTATTTATTTATTTATCTGCCTTTTCGACCTTGGCTGTTAAATTTCTAGTTTGCTTTGTTTGTTTCTTCGTTTCTTTCTTTATTTAAAGCAGTTGGTATATAAAACACACAAGAGCCCCCACACCACCCTTGCTGTGTATTAGAATTTGGGAAGGAAGGAACGCTTACATTATCGCGGGTGTGCAACTGTTAAGTTTAAAGCAGTGGTTCTCAACCTTTTTATACGGCGACCCTGGTCATAAGCAGGTGGCGCGCATGCGCGGCGGCGCCCCTGCGTGGCACGCATGCGCGGTGGCGCCCCCTGCGCGGCGCGCATGCGCGGTGCCGCCCCTGCCCGGCATGCATGTGCGGCGGCGCCCCCTGCGTGGTGCGCATGCACGGTGGTGCCCCTGCATGGTGTGCATGCGTGGTGCCGCCCCCTGCCCGGCACGCATGCGCGGCGGCGCCCCCTGCATGGTGCGCATGCACGGTGCCGCCCCCTGTGGTGCGCATGCACGGTGGTGCCCCCTGCATGGCGCGCATGCGCGGTGCCGCCCCATGCGCCACCCCATGCGGGCGCACATGCGTGGCGGCGCCCCCTGCGCCGGCTGACGAAAAAATGGCGGATCGCGTTGTTTGGCGACCCCCGTGAAATGGTCGTTCGACCCCAAATGTGGTCGCGACCCACAGGTTGAGAGCCGCTGGTTTAAAGCATTCATACAGCAAATTGCATTTGTAAAAAGAAAAAAAAACTTGCATTAGGCAAGTCGGATTGTTATAATTGGCTTCGTAACACATCTACTGGTTTCCAGCTGAATGGTTGCTTGGTGGCAAAAAGTTGTTTGCCTTTGCGAAATGAGTGAGAAATCCCTCGCTCATAAAAGCAATTGTGTACGCCAAGCCTAGTTAAATGCTATGATTTAAGCTTAGTTATTTTAACAGTGTTAAGACAAAACACCTCGTGTGACACCTCTATTCCACGAGCTGCGTTGGCTGCCAGTTTGCTTCTAGTTCCAATTTAACCTTCGATGCCCTTCATGGCATGGGAGTGGGCTATCTGAGGGACTGCCTATCTCCAGTTACATCCTCCCATCCCATTAGATCTGGCAGAGAAGACATGCTACCATCAGCTAGGAACCTACATTTGGTGGACCCTAGGAGACATGCCTTCTCTGCCTTGGATCCCACCACCACAATAATAACAATAATAAAAATGTTGGAAAGTACCTTGGAGGTCATCTAGTCCAATCCCTTGCTCAGGCAGGAAACCCTACACCATTTCAGACAAATGGCTGTCCAGTCTCTTCTTAAAAACTTCCAGTGCTGGAGCATTCACTGCTTCTGGAGGCAGGTTGTTCCACTGGTTAATTGTTCTAACTGTCAGGAAGTTTCTCCTTAGTTCTAGTTGCTTCTCTCCTTGATTCATTTCCATCTGTTGTTTCTTGTCCTGCCTTCTGGTGCTTTGGAGAACAGCTTGACTCCCTCTTTGTGGCAGCCCCTGAGATATTGGAAGACAGCCATCATGTCCCCCCTCGTCCTTCTCTTCATTAAACTAGACATAGCCAATTCCAGCAACCGTTCCTTATATGTTTTAGCCTCCAGTCCCCCGATCATCTTGGTTGCTCTTCTCTGCATTCTTTTTAGAGTCTCAACATCTTTTTTTACATCGTGGTGACCAAAATTGGATGCAGGATTCCAAGTGTGGCCTTGTGCAACATGCTTCTCCCCAAAATTAGATTAGCTTCATTCCTTTTGACATCACGGATGTCCCTCCAGACCTGGTTATGTTATTAACCTAGACACTCCACAAGAACCAGATACGTACTTAGCTGGCTCCATTGTTGAGGTGGCCATTCTTCTCCTCTGTCTGCCCAGGGTTTGTTTTTATTTATACATTTATTTATTTATTTTTAATGTGGATGTGTGTATTTTTACATCTGTTGCTTCTAGATTTGTTACGTTACTAAATTGTTGTAGGCCATCCAGAGTCGCTTTTGGTCAGATGGGCAGCTATACAAATTTGATAAATAAATAAATAAAGTAGATGAAATTGAGTTGGCAAGCATTACCATCTGGGGTATGGCATTTGTTTTCAGAGAGTATTCTTTGTCACAAAACTTGTCTGTTTCTTTTTTTTAAGGTCAGGGAGAAGAATGTAGCGGAATAGAATAGGAATAGAATAGAATAGAATAGAATAGAATAGAATAGAATAGAATAGAATAGAATAGAATAGAATAGAATAGAATAGAATCTGGGAGGGACCTTGGAGGTCTTCTAGTCCAACCCTCTGCTCAGGCAGGAAACCCTGTATAATTTCAGACAAATGGTTATCCAGTCTCTTCTTTGCAGTACTCGATCTGATTTAGATAAGAGTTTGTATACTGAAATGGCATTTTTTTCTAAGTAGCAACAAAGCTGTCTGGTCTCAATCTGAAGAGCAACAGATTGATGGGAGTATAGCCTAAATTATGCTTGGTTAAAATACCTAAAAGTTTGATATTATGGCCAGAATACAGTTTGGCATACTCAGTGAATTGCAGATTTCATTTGTTATCACTTACTTGTGCAAGGGGGGACCAAATATCTTGGAAAAAGGTTGGTGTGGTAGTGAAGTGTCATGCGAAAATCCACGATCGAGAAAAATAAAAGTATTTCTGGATAGAATTACCTCCAAACTATATAATAAAAAAAGAGAACGTGTAATTATCCCACTCCTTCCCTCTGTTTTAATCTGTGGTTTGTTAATAAGAACCGGAGATAAAAAACAATGGGGAAAATTTCATGTACATCTCCATTAAAATGTTATGAGCAAAGGCAGGATATTTGATAAGATTGGGATCCCCCTTGTGCTTTGCTTTTTTTCTTTTTCTTTTTGGTCATATATATATTTGGCAGAAGAATGTTACAGTTCTCACAAGTTATTTGACCCTTGAGTTAACAGATTTTCCTCTTTCTGTTCTGTGTAGCCTGTGAAGAGCAATTATAAATGCTTGATGGTCAGTTGCTTAGACAGTACTGTTATGTATTGTTTTCTTGGTTTGTTTCTTGTGGGCTTAGGATCCTTTAGGTCAAGAATAGGGGATCACCTTTTCTTTAAATGACAGGTGTGGGCTGGTAGAGCAGTATTGTTGTGACTCCATTCAACAGCTAGAACAGTGGTAGCGAACCTATGGCATGGGTGCCAGAGGCGGCACTCAGCGCCCTCTCTGTGGGCATGCGTGCCGTCTGTTGCCCCAGTCCTAGGCCTTCAGCTGGGTTTTATAAAATATTTTCGCTTTAGGCCTCCGCTGCCATGTGCAAAAAAAAAAAAAAAAGTTCAGTCAATTTCAACGTCTCGCGGGGAAAAAAAGATCTCGCAAAGTTGGAATTGATTGATTGAACTTTTTAGTCCCACCCAGTCTTCCATTATCACCACAGCCATGCCCACCCATTGGGCCACACCCACCCAATGGGCCACTGCCCACCCGATTGGCCACACCCAGCCAATGGGCCACACCCACCCGGCACTTGACGATGCATAAGTGGGTTTTGGGTTGCAGTTTGGGCACTCGGTCTCTTAAAGGTTCGCCATCCCTGGGCTAGAACTTGTCCCCTTTGTGGTGACGCTTTTGGGCAAAAGAAAGGCTGAGAAATCAGAATTGATTTCCATCAGAAACCGAACCACGTGACTTCTTGTTGTTTTGAGAAGCAGGTCTTCCTCCTCTGTCTCTTTCCTCTTTCCAATTCCCCCCCCCCCACTGGTCTATGTGAGGATAATAACGTTTTATTTGATTTGACTTGGTGGGTTTTTCCTTTGTACCTTCAGAACCCCTCTGTATACTTAATAGGACTCTCAGTCGCTTCTCATTCACAGTCATGGATGTGTCTTCTTTCTGCAGCACGTAGTTATTCCTTATTAATCATACATACACAGTTTGATACGGTACCTATTAAGGCTCCTTTCCTGTGTTTGCTAGGTGTGGGAAATGAGGGCCCCATGTTTTTCATTACTCTTTTTCGGTTTTATCTTTGAAACTTACGTTGTGGCTAAAAATGCTTTTGCATAATGGATCCTCCTTGAAATATTTGCAGCAGTGTAAAAAAAAACACTTATCATGAACATCCTGTGCTATACAACAAGGGTCCTCAATCCCTGGGATGCAGCCCACTACAAGGCTGTGGCCTATTCAGAACTGGACCGCACAAGTGGCTGGCCAGCATGTGTGCATAGGTCAATTTGCACAAATGGCATGTGCATGCACGCCAGCCCACTGCTTGCACAAGTTGGGATCCATGTTGTCCCATCACTTGCACAAGTCAGGCTGTGTGTGCACACAGTCCAGCCTCCATTCTTGCGTGGCCCAGTTCCCTCTCCCCCCCCCCCCCGGTTGGGCTGCAAAGGTTGAGGACTGCTGGCATACAAAAAAAGAGAATTTCTGAGGAAAGAGTTAGGGGTAACATGTTCCTTAAACTTGATGTGCAAAATAAATGTTTTATTCAGTTAATAAATCTCTGTTTCCTTATGGTAGAAGAAATATGAAACTGCTATCTAATCATTAACTGAGCTGATTTGTATTATATATAGTTTACAGTAGTATTGAAATAATAAATGGCATTTTCATCAACTATATCATGCTGATCATCGCCGCTGATGTTTATACACTTGTTAGATTTTTAGCAAGGACCTGCATTTTAAAAACATATTTTACATAAAGGAATCATAAAACAGAGCTTGAGTGACATTTCTAAATATAAAACCATTAAAATTTAAGGACGTTAGTGCCATCAGTGTCTTGGTAAAGATTTTTTTTTCCTAGTTTCTCAAATTAATTATAGTATTTAATATAAAATTAAATATGTGAAGCAATCCTGGATATTGTAACTTCTCAAATGGGTAGGTTCCTAGTAATAGTATTGTGCATTAAGTAGTGTTGAGTCAATATTGACTCCTGGTAATTGGAGTCTGGATAAGTCTCTGAAATTTCCTTGGCAGGATTTCAGAAGTGTGGCATGCCATTGCCTTCTTCCTAGGGCTGAGAGAAAGTGGCTGGCTCATGGTCACCTGTGGGCTTCATGCTTTAAAGCAGGACTACAACTCCCAATCTCCCAATTTCTGGTTGGTGCCTTAGCCATTATACCGAACTGCTTTACATCCTTAATTACATCACCGTCTTTCATTCCCATATAAGATCAGTCAGGTATTGAAAGCGTCAACGTTTATTATTTTCTCAGAATTTTAAACAAAGTTTCAGTTTGCAGATGTAAGGGAGTAAAAGCTTTTTGACTTCAAGATAAAAATGCTACCTTGAAGTCTAGCTGAAAATTATAGTTGAGGCCTGGAAAGCTACCTACCTTAGAATTATAGGTGAGGCGTGCAAAGCCACCTCGAAAGCTAGCTGAAAATTATAGTCGAGGCCTGGAAAACTACCTAGTTGAGAATTATAGTTGAACCGTGAAAGGCCGTTTCGAATGCTGGTGGAAAATTACACATCCTCTTCACTTACAAATCCCTTTTTGTTTGCAGACGTGGGTTGGAAACAAAAGAAGAAAGATGAGCAGTAAGAACACCGTGGATTCTGGGGGAAGCCCATCAGCCACGGCCACCAGCACATTGACAATGCCTCCAGAAGTGGCCGTTCAGAATGTGGTCAGCATAGCCCGTTCCCAGAGCCAGCAGTCCTCGTGGACGTCCGCCAACAACGATGTCATAGTTACCGGCATCTATAACCCGGCGACTTCATCTGGCAGACTGGTTTCCACGAAACAGACTAACTCCTTGATGAGCGATATGCATAAAAATTCCCTTTCCAGGTCAGCCGGGAAGAGCGATCCCGAATTCCAGCGGCAGCACATCGCGGTGACCCGCCAAGCTCCCCATTGTAAAAATGCTTCGCTTTTCCTGGGCGAGAAAACCATCATCCTTTCCAGGCAAACCAGCGTGCTGAATTCAGGAAATTCTATTTATAATCACACTAAGAAAAGCTATGGCGGGTCGTCGGTTCAGACCGCCGAATTAGTGTTACCTCAAAAGCCCGTTTTGTGCCACCGGCCGTACAAGATGGACCCGGTGGGGTGCCAACGGTTGCAGAAGCCGGAGCACCCCATCCTCGCTTCCTCCGTTCCATCTGGACAGAGATCCAACATTCGAGATCCTTCCTGCAGCACTCACAATTTGGAAATCCGCGAGGTTTTTTCTTTGGCTGTTACCGATCAGTCACTGGGAGGAAGCAGAGAGAAGAGCGTGTCGTCTTCCGGAGAAGGCAGTTGTCTCTCTATCGCGATGGAAACCGGGGATGTGGACGACGAATACGCCAGAGAGGAAGAATTGGCCTCTATGGGCGCCCAGATACAAAACTACTCTCGGTTAAGCGGCACGTCCCTCCGCGTCGAGAATCCGGGATCTGTTTTTTCTGGGTCGGGCAGGAACGTGAGTTGCAATTCGCACGTGCTGAACGCGAGGAATTTGCACGACAATATCTTGTATCGTAATAGAGACTACCGCTTGCCTCCACGGACTTCGTTGCACAGCGCCTCCAGTACCCTCTATAGCAGTTCTTACCCATCCAGAAGTAACCTTTCTTCTCATTTTGCAGCATCCAATCAACTAAGGCTATCTCAGAACCAAAATAATTACCAGGTAATTGGCTTTTCTTCCTAAGTTCCGAGGCTTAGGAAATAGTGTCAACCTACATTTTTTTTAAAAAAATGTAAATCAAGAACTCCAGCTAATGAGCGACTGTAAAGGGAACTGCTACCTTGTTTTCTGCTCCCAGGAAACAAGAACAGTTTTCTATTTTTCCCCCTCTTTTTTCATTTCTTTATATGTGCTCGATTTCCTCTTATGTCCCTGGCATTTTGATACATTATTCCTGTATTATAATTCTGATGATACCTGAATTTGGATATGATCATTCTGGAAACATCTTCAGAACCATATGAAGCCGAGAGTACATCTTGATTCATATTCTAGTTAGAGAAAGATTTAAATCAATGGAAGATATTTTTTTTAAAAAAAAAAACCTTAGCTGAATTTACAAGAATTCAGAACCATTCAATATATTTGAGATTTAGTAAATGATTATTTATTCTGGGGGTTCTCAACCTAAGGTCCACGAACCTCTGGGGGCTGTGATATCAGTCTTCAGCAGAGGTCTCTGAAGGCTTGAATAAATATTATGATTTAAATCTTAAGTCTCGGGGCCCGTGTTCATGGTCTGTGGCCACAAAAGTTACTTAAAAGGAGGTCCGTGGTGAGCAAAAAGTTGGGAACCACTGGTTTATTCTCTCTAAATCAGGTTTCTTAGAAAGAGAAGAATGCTTTATGTTCATCTAAAAAAAAATGCATTCCAACACAGCTAGTTACCCTTAAATCTGTTGTTCAGATGATTATCTATCTATGCAGCATGCAAATGTACCTTTGTGGTAATTTTTTATTTTCCACAGATTTCAGGAAACCTAACTGTGCCTTGGATTACTGGATGCTCCAGGAAACGAGCAGTAAGTTAATCTTACTGGACCAACTTTCAGCTTTAGATTTTGTGTTTATTTATTGCATATATTTACAGTATACACTAGACAGCTCTGAGTAGGGTATAATAAATTTTAGCCAACAATGAGAAGTATTCGTTATTTTTCCAAGAATCGTCGCACGTCATAATTCTGATTCGAGTTGTTTTTATTTTGCAGCCCTGTAAATTTTGGGGGATTGTTATCAATGCAGGCAGTAGTCAGTTAAAGTTATTATACTCCAGTGGTGGCGAACCTATGGTAGGCGTGCCAGAGGTGGCAGGCAGAGCCCTCTCTGTGGGCACGCGCGCCATCGCCCCAGTCCTAGGCCTTTTTATAAAACCTTTTATAAAACCTTTTCGCTTTAGGCTTCCGCTGCTGTGTGCAAAAAAAAAAAGGATCAATCAATCAATTTCTTGTGGGAAAAAAAAAAGATCTTACAAAGTTGGAATTGATTGATTGAACTTTTTAGTTCCACCCAGTCTGCTATTACCACTGCAACCAGGCCCACCCAATGGGCCACACCCACTCAATGGGCCACACCCACCCGGCACCCAACAATACATAAATGAGTTTTGGGTTGCAGTTTGGGCACTCAGCCTCTAAAAGATTCGCCATCACTGTAATATACTCTGTTATTCAAAATCCTGTCCGTTAACTGTTACAAGTCAGCTTAATATTAATTATATCAATCAACAGCTTTCATTGTTGTGTTTCAGTGACAGCCTCACAATAATAAAAACTGCTGGAAAATAATTGTACTAATGAAATGGTATTTTTAAAAGCCACTGGAAAACCTAGCAAGGATTAAAACAACGTGGCAATCTTCCTGGAAAACAAAATAAATCTTTTTAAAGATGAGCCTTTCTGATCCCAAGAATAATGAAGACAGTTTCAATTGTGGGCTATCAAAGTAAAAACTCCATAGTCCCAATTTATAGTCCCATTTAACTTATTAGTCTCAAGTTAAATTCTGTCTGCTTCCAAATAGTTTTGTCTTTCTTTCTTTCTTTTTTTCTCGTTTAATTTCAAGCAAATGAAATCACAGCTATGGGGCACAAAGGCAAAGCAAAGTAGAAAAGGAAGGCTGTGAACTTTTGGGTCTGCAATAACTCTAAACATATCCTAAAAAAAAATTGTTTTGTACAGATTCCTCTTTAGTGTTGTTGGTTAACTATCTTACTATTAATTTGTGTTGATGTTAAATAGCCTGAATCTGTGCAATTAAAAATGCTTTCAAGGCCATATTAAAACCTGTTTGCAGAAGCTGTGATCTAACAAATGGCACCAATTTCTAGACTTTCATATAATCTTCATTTGCACAAGGAAATTCAAATGAAGTTTTGCAAATGAAATAAAGTAATTTGTCATTGTCTCCAGTTCTGTTAGGATAACAAAGTACTCACAAGTCGGTTTGCTGACCAGAATAATCTTAGGTGCCATTTTTAAATGACTCATACTGAAAAGTCATCCTGAGTAAAGTTTCTTAACACTTTAAGCCATGGTATATAAATGGATCCTTAATAAATATAGATGTCCAATAATAAAGGAGTGAGCTTTTCTCTCACATAATTTTGTATAAGATTGAATTGGATTATGGCACACACTAATCCATCCACTTCTCATTAATACAATCAAAATATTAATGCGAATCAAGCCAATTTTTTATTTTTCGTTGTTAGGAGATAGCATGGGGGAGTGTAGTGTTTTAATGTTCTAAGAATCCTAGTGTAAAGATCGAAAATTCAAGTAATCTTTGCGTTTTGAACAAAGTTTGGCCAGATCTTCTGGAAAGCTCAGAAGCGAAATATGAAGCTTTTTCTGTCCCAAGACCTTATATTCTCCTTTTTAAAATATCAGATTAGTTATGTAGGCACTGACATAATAATTGCCTGAATCTTTTGTTAAGCTATTCAGGTTGTTGGACTACATTTAATTTATCTGTTGTGAATTACAGAAATTATTTACGTATCATTTATTGCCTATCAGGTTCAATGGTTGATCCTAAACTGCCAGTAGTCCATAACGGAGCCTGAACTATATATATATACTGTATTTTCCGGCGTATAAGGCGACTCGGCGTATAAGACGACCTCTGACTTTGGTGCCGATTTCCATGCCTAGAAAGTCATCTTATATGCCGGAAACTACCATAATTTCCGGCGTATAAGACAACTCAGCGTATAAGACAACCCCCGACTTTGGCGCCGATTTCCACGCTTTAGAAAGTTGTCTTATACGCCGGAAAATACGGTATATTGTATTCAATATATTATTCTTTCTGGGTTTTTCTTTTGTTACCTTGTTGATCATTGACTGTGGTTTAAAAAATAATAATAATTTGACTTTGGCATCTTTCTGGAACATTGCTATGTTGTTTTTGCAAGTTTCTGGGCTTTTATTAAGCTGTATTTAGTAATCTTTGCATATTTGTGCGTGCGCACCCATGTCCTTGTACGTTTCCCAAACAACTGGGCAAAGGAAAATTGTAAAATCTGCAGCTAACTGCAGCCATTTTAATTTGGTACAAGTGACTAAGCTTGATGTTGAGAAGGGGTCTATGACAACTCACCATGACCAGCTTGCCATGGACAACTCAGTGCAGGACAAGAGTTACACTAATATCGAAGAAATAATCCAATAGAATCAATAAAGAAAGGATGCTAAAGAAGGGACACAATTAAATGCGAATAACAATTTTACTCCAATTTCATCTTAAGTCATATATTACTTTAGTTCCATTTTAAACTTATTTTATCAAATTTTATTTTAAATTGCTTTTATCAGACTTGGTAATGATTTGTTGTTGGAACTTTGCACTTTGGTATGGCCCAAGAACTAATCAATAAAGATTATTATTAATAATAACAATTAATTTTTTTTTAATTATTTTAAATAATTGAATTGTTGAATTGTCCCACAATGAGGTATCCTGTGGCAAATTTGCTGCAGCAGCAAGTTTTCCCATTCCGGTTGAGAAGACCTTCATTTTCACTGTCTGTCCTTGACTGTTTTTTTGCACTCTCCATTGAGGTGGGGGGAAAGATTATGTGCTTGTTTTACAGTTGCAGGACCGTACACAATTCAGCGATCGAGATTTAGCCACACTGAAGAAGTATTGGGATAAAGGTATGACCAGCCTTGGATCAGTTTGCAGAGAGAAAATTGAAGCCGTTGCTGCAGAATTAAACGTTGACTGTGAAATAGTAAGGGTAAGAACCTTACGTATGTAGAAGCCAAAAATAGCCCCGATGAAAGTTTTCTCTCTCTTCTTTTTTTCTGAATTGCAAGAGTTAGACCGAAATAGATTGCATGTGTTATTGCATGGTTACATTAGGAAGTGCTCTGTTTCCTGTCTATTTATAGATATCGTGCCTTAGGTGAGACATTTATTGGTAGATACTATATGTTAGATGTCTGATACATCTAACATGTTGTATTGAGATTTATATCAGGTTTTTTTTTTAAAAAATGAGAACTGAAAAGGAGTAACAGTTGTTTTCAGTTCTTCGTATCACACACACACACACACACACACACACACACACACCAAAAAGAGGGAAAGGCAGGAGCTATGCTTTGCATGTATGGAGCTCCAAGTATATTATCTCATTCATCTTCCCAATGTGTAAACTTGACAAACTCTACTTGAATACCTGAGGCCTTGAGAATAGAATACGTTGCACGTGTAGGAGACGAGCAGTCAGAGCTGGGAGGTGGAGTAAAATGTGTCATCAGCTTAGAGGCCATGTGTTGCCACAAACAAGCCAAGTCCAGTCCCACTCATCTGGCCCCAATTTAGTGCTGACCGTTAGTTGACCAAATTCTTCTGCATAAGCTTCAATAAATCATTTATGCTGCAATCGACATGAGTGGTCCTAATTTTTTGAGCCCGATATACGTTGTGCTCAAGTGATGAGGTAAAGAAAGGCTGAGCATTCATGAGAATACAGCTACTCCTCAGTTTACAACTATAATTGAGCCCAGAATTATGGTCATAAGTTGTCCCAATTGTTAAGCAAGTCACCGTGTGATTGGTCTTGAATTTTTACAGCCTTTTTTTGAAACAGTCGTTAAATGGTGTATAACCTCCCCAAACGTTTATTGAATATTCAGAATTCTGAACGTCCTATATCTTTCTGGGGGGGGGCTTCTCTATCTAATACTGCATCAAGACCAGTTTTTAGAGTACATAATCCTGTGCACATCTCACAGGTGCTTTTAAGTGGGAAATCAGATATAATTAGGGCAGCCCTTGCCCTCCAATTTGTTCTAAACGTATTTTCTCTGTAGTTCTTTCCTTTTCGTAGCCAAATCTTGTAATTGCCATTAAGGTGCCTCTAATTCTAATACTTCAGTACGATACATTTCAGACATCCATTCATTTATAATCAATAAGTAAACAGCTTTTCATCCAAAGCTAATTGGATTAGAGGTGATAAAATTGAAAGAGAAGGAATGAGAACATACGTTGAAATTCCATTAAGCTTCTCTTGAATCCTAAATCTTTACATGGAATTGCCGTCCGCATATCTCCAAAGCAACTTCAGTAATTTGAGTGTGTTTCTTCTTGAATGATGGTTGTTGTGATTGTGGCTTTCTTAGTATTTCAGCTTCGGGATCAGGGATAGCGTCTAAATTTTTCCCCCCGTATCTGTTTCCTTGCTCAAGACTTGGATCGGAAATAGGAGACGAAAGTACCGTTTGATGGGCATCGAAGTCCCTCCTCCTCGTGGTGGCCCTGCCGTCTTTTCGAGTCATTCTGATTCCAGTGATAAATCGGTACCCATTCCAGGAGACGACCCCCTGACGGATATAGGAGAGGATAATGACAGGAATGATGAAGTATCCATCTGCTTATCGGAAGGAAGCTCCCAAGGTATTCAAAGCTGCCATTGGTGTTCTATTGAAACACGTGGAGCCTTCAGAATTTACCGAACATCTTTGACGTACGGCCATAGTTGGGACTAGAATTTCCATTGCTAAGCAAGGCATTTGTTAAGTGAGTCACGCCTGATTTTATGACCTTTTTTGCCATGAAGTGAATCCCTGCAGTTGTTAAGTGAACCACATGGTCGTTAAGGAGCTGAGCTTCCCCCATTTGACTTTGCTTATCAGCAGCCAGCTGGGAAGGTTGCAGATGGTGGTCACGTGACCCTGGGATGCTGCAAATATCGTAAATACATGGCAGTTGGCATGCGCCCGAATTTGCCCATGTGACTATGGGATGCTGTCAGAGTTGTAAGGCTGAGGATTGGTTGTAAGTCACTTTTTTCAGTGCCATTGTAAGCTCCAACAATCGCTTGTAAGCGGTTGTTAGTCAAGGACTACCTGAATGGAATACTTGGTTTACGTTCCAGGTAATCACCCATTACTTCCTGGATGGCCCTTCTATCTTATCCCTTCAGCTCTCCAACTTTTCTTTCTAAATAATATGTCCCCCCATTTATTTCTTTCTCAGTGTTGCCTGGAGATGCCAAAATTGAAATCTGGATCTTCACCTTACTAATCACATCTATTGTTGCCAGGTGATTGCCTTTTCCCCAACTAAAAGTCAGTAACAATAGAGTTGTTGTAAAATAGAAAATGTGCCAGAATTGAATACTTATCAAGGAAATCTGGTTTATCTGACATACCGAGAAATACTGGCCACGAAGACCCTGTGCACATATTTATAAAACACAAAGCAGTAGAGGAATCTTTTTAGCATTTATCTTGTAGGGTTTTTTTTGGTCAGGGATGATTGCTCAGGCGTCTCCCTGGATTAAATGTTGTGTTTTTATCTGAACTTTCCTGTTTAGTGACTTATGGCTAGCTATGTATTCTGCTTTATTTCTTCCAAGTTGACAATATGCTATTTCTTCCAAAGGCATTGGTGATCAATCAAGGAAGAGGCTTCCATGGGTCAGCTTTATACAGTGTTCCTCACACATGGGATTGTGTTAAGAATTCTCTATCAATACACCTTAATCCTAGTTAAATAGTCAATCTGGGCCAGGATGTATGCCCAACATAATTTTGCTTCTATATCTTGTCTGAATATTTCATTGCTCATTTGGACAATCCAAGTCTGAATAAAATTTTGCTTTTCAGGCTAACTCTAAAGGGATAATTAATTTTTCAGTAGAAGAGAGGCATAGACTCATGACTTGGCACTGATCTTTTAATATGGCTGAAATGATCCTTTAGTGTTGGATCCCATTCTTAGCAACCCAACAAGTGACAGAAGCAGGCTGTTACGATGCTAGAAGTGTGTTTTAAAATGTACAAGCAACAATAACTGTGTCAGTTAAAAGTGAACACGGGTTCACACTTTACCGACTTCACAGTTCAGCTAATTGCTCCTGGTGCTTTTGACTGGAACAAATTGCCAAGGTACTTCAAAAATAGCCTGTTTCTAGGGCACGTTAATGGATAGATAGATATGCCAGGCTCGATCTCATCATTTTGTTTAACCGATTTGGAGAAGGCAAGGGTAAAAAAAAAAAAAAATCTGAGAACTTGAACGCTTCTGACGAGTCTGTCAGAATTTTAGTTACAAAGAGAATACGATAACAACACAAAATTGGCTGGAAGTAACTCGAAAGCCAAGCGCGTCGCTAAAAATCTGCACATCTTCTTTTCGCCTGAGGTGAAAGAACTCCTCCGACAGCAAGAGGACTTGAGAAGTAGAACATTCTGCAGCTCTAGCAAGAAACTATCTTAAAATTAATTGAGTCTGACACTCTGAAGCCTACGATGGAGCCATCAAAGAGAGGTACCAAGAAGATCACTCTGATCAATGCGTAGACATTCAGTTTTGCAGCTACTAAGATTGTTGGACGAGCAGGCCCAAAAACAGCCAGTAATGTGACTGAAGCCAGGGAAACAGACCCTCCTCAGTCAGCAGGTGTGCTGATTTACCACCAGCCTATCAAGTACTCAGAAAGCGAGGGCTGGGCAGCACAAGCAAATGACAGCCGACGACTTAAAAGCCAGCCATCAACACACCCCAATCAACATCTAAAAAGCCACTTACAACAGGCACTCTAAAATACCAAACACAGAACAACACACACTCAGCTAGAGAGACATTCCCCAAAGATGGGCTCCAGCACTAGTCCAAAAGCTCAATTAAAAAACCTCTGGTTCCAGTGACCGACTCAGATTGGATCCTATATTGCATAAACAAGTTGCAGGATAAATACTGTGGGTTGGTTTTTTTTTTTTTTTAGGATACAAGAACAGAAATACTTGAGGTTTTTTTTATATATCAGCAGTGATGATGATGTGTTTGTGCCTCCATAAAATACAAAGCTACATCCATTTTGCTGTTCGATGCTTCCTAGATGTGAAATAGGTTGAAATTTAGCATGAGCTGCCTTTTTGGAGGACTGAGGAAAACTTAGCTACAGTTAAGAGAGGATAATTTATTTTTCATGCAGGGGATTCTTGAAAGACGTTAAGGTTTTCTGTGTCAACATGTTCCTACAGAATTTCCTGGTTCCATAATTCTAGAATATTTCTAGAGTATTCTAATACTAGAATGCCTGTTCTAGAATAGCTGCAGGTTCCTGCACCTATTATAAAGTTATCACCACAGCTAGTCCTTGACTTGCTGCAGTTCATTCAGTGACCATTCAAAGTTACAACCCCCTCCCCCAAAAAAGCAACTTAGGACCATTTTTCACACTTAAACGGCCTTTGCAGCATCGCCATGGTCATAGGATCAAAATTGGAAGGCTTGGCAACTGACTCACATTTATGACGGTTGCCGTGTCCCGGGGGGTGTCACGTGATCCCCTTTTGCAACCTTCTGACAAGCAAAGTCAATGGGGAAGCTGGATTCACTTAACAACCGGGTTACTAACTTATATCAGCTGCAACAATTCACTAACAAGCATGGCAAGAAAAGTCATAACATGGGGCAAAATTCACTTTAACAAGCGCTTCCCTTAGCAACAGAAATGTTCAGCTCAACTGGGGTCATAAGACGAGGACTCTCTCTATGTCTGCTGTTTGAGCTGGGCAATGAAACGGTTCACTTTATTCCTGAAATGTGGCAGCTCATAGGAGTGAGGGGAAACATTATTTCTTGAAATGAAAGTAGCTAACATTGGGCACGCTGTGCTACCCAAGTAACCTCAAACAGCCGCTAAGCGAGAAATAAATGCACCCTACTTTTCTGTATAATGTTTTACTTGATCATTTTTAATGGCAACCAGACTGTTTCTGCCATTTCTTGATCTTGGATCCATAGCTTTATCCCCAAGGTTTAAAATGCACACTAAACTATAACTTAAAAGAACACTTTTATAAGATGAGGTATCGCTGGTATTTAACACCAGATAAGTTATCTAGAAACGTATAAAGGTATCTCGAACGAATGTTGGAAATGTACATTTAAAGAGGGGGCTTTTTATCATTTATGGCAGTGTTTCCCAAACTTGACAATTTTAAGGCATGAGGACTTCAACTCCCAGAATTCCACAGCCAGCATGAAGTCCTCATGCCTTAAAATTGTCAAGTTTGGGAAACACTGATTTATGGTGATAAAGCAAAGAAATACTGGAGTAGGATTCATAGTTTAATGCAGAAGATTCCTAAAGTGAATATAAAGATTTAAATCGGAAACTTTCCTTCTCGGTCTAATGGAAAAAGACTTGGAAAACTGCTTGGTTTTGACAGTGGATATCTCTCAGTTCTGCTCTTGTTTGGCCAGGGTGAGATTTGAAATCTAGCTCCACATTAATAACAGTGGAGGGATCACAAACTTCCAGAAAAAGTCTTAAACGTGCATGTTGCTTCCCAGTTTTTATTCTTTTTCACGAACACCAATGATCTGTTGACTAAACTAGAAATATCATTAAAGAGGTGCTCAATGTCTCAATAAAGATTCATTATTTGTCTCACTCCCATGGTCCAAAGGATTTAATTCTAGCATTACTATTTCAGAAGAAAAACAAGATGATTTAATAGGATGGTTTTATCCCGAGAAGAAAAAAACAGAAGTTCCAGCAACCTTGTGCTTTTTTTTATTTTCTTATTAACTCTTTTAATTACAGTATATAGACAAATTTGATTTTACTTAAATAAGTTTATCATAACTATCTGTGACGTGGAAGCGGACACACTTTTTCTTTCTTTCTGAGGATTTTCTGACAGTCTTTAGCTCAGCACTTTGCTTAGAACTGCATCGCTGTTTATTTCTGCAGAAGAACACAATGAAGTTCTTCCAAGGGAAGACATTGGCCACAAAGAAGAGGACCACGCTACTGTATCTTCTGATAATGTGGTGAGAATGCATCCTAAAATGAGCTTACTGAATTAAAGCCACAAAGCTTGATGGACTGATCATTTGAAGGGCTCTGTGTTGTGCTGTAGAACTGGGGAGGAGGGGGGGGGGAAGGAAAAATCAAAACTCAGAATATCCGATCTTGGAAAGCTTTTGTGGAGGATGACTGTGTCCAAATGTTTGCTTTCAAAAATGAAATATACTGTCTGCTTTTTTCTTCAAGAAAATAGAAATAATAGATGACGAGGAAAGCGATATGATAAGTAACTCTGAAGTGGATCAAATGAGCTCTCTTCTGGACTACAAAGTAAGTGCCTTGCATTTTTGCTCAAACAGAAAAACCATTATCCTCTAAATCAGAGGTGGGGAACAATGGCCCCTTTATGACTTGCGGACTTCAACTCCCAGAATGCCTGAGTCAGCCATTTGGGAGTTGAAGACTTCAAGTCATAAAAGAGCCATCGTTCCCCACCCCTGTTCTAAATATACAGCTTTTGATCAAAGAATTAAATTAAGAATATGAAGGTTAGTCCAGGCCAATGCTGTTAGATATCAGGGAGATATCTCAAAATGTTGTTCAGATAAGCTGGCTGTTCAAAGCCAGTTCCTTGTTTTTCACAGCCCACCTAACGCAAGCCGGGAGATTTGTTTTACTATCACACACACACACCCTGCGCCCCCCATCCTACCTCCTCTCTCTCTTTCCATTCCCTTCTCTGTTGTGTTTAATCAAATTGGATTTGAAATATCGTGACCCTCATTTGTTAGGACATCTAATACAGTTAGTCCTCCTCGATTTACAATCATCATTGATCCTGGCAACCATGGTCATGAATTGTGACGGTCACAAAGTGGGTCAGCACATGATTGGACCCATTTTAATAGCCTCTCTTGAGGCAATTGTTAAGCAAATCCATTGTTCGCTACCGGTTGTGTTTCCCCCCCCCCCCCCCGAAACTAAAAATAAATGCCAGTTTTCTGCCAAAACTATTGTAAATTGTAATCACCTGACTGTAAGACTTTGCAAACGACCATCAATGTAGGTTGGTTACCAAGCAACCAAAATGCGTTCACAGTGCCTTTGGGGGTGGGGAGGACAAAACCAGAACTCCAAATAAGTAACTTGTCAGGAGTCTGCCATTACTTTGAATGGTTCACTAAGTGACTGTCATAAGTCGAGGAATACTGTATTTCTGATAAACTGGTTAAATTTATCAGAGGATAGAGAGGGTAAATGAGGAGGGTTTTTTTGAAAAAAAAAAAGTCACACTGTTTGACAGTTCAGGTTATTATGAAGCAGTGAAGATCCTTTCATACAGATAGTCCACAACTGACTCCAAAATGTATGTTGTTAAGTGAGACATTTGTTAAGTGAGTTTGGTCCCATTTTACGATCTTTCTTGCCACAGTTGTTTAGTGAATGACAGCAGTTATTAAGCTAATAACTGGTTGTTAAGTGAATCTGGGTCCCCCATTGACTTTGCTTGTCAGAAGGTCACAAGAGGTTGATCATGTGACCTTAGGACGCTGCAACTGTCATAAGTATGAACCAGTTGCCAAGCATCTGAATTTTGATCACCTGTTCATGGGGATGCTGCAAAGGTCGTAACTGAAAAATTGTGCCAAGTCCCTTTTTTCAGTGCCCTCGTAACTTTGAATGATCACTAAATGAATTGTTGTAAGTCGAGGACTATCTTTATAGCCTTCTTCATCCTGCTCCACCTTCTTGTCCAAGTGCAGCGCTCGGTGCTAGAAAGTCTTGAGTACAAATTAAGGACCGCGAGAACATAACTCCAGGCAGATGGTGCTGAAGCAAACATTTTCAGAAGTAGGATGAATGACTTTATTTTTTAAGGCAGAATGTTCCAATTTCATCAGCTTGTAGATTACAGGCTAATGTTTGGTTTTGATGCCATCTAAGCAACAACAGTTGGGGACTATGATAAGGGGTAGCTTTTTGCCAAATTTGCAAAGGTTACATCTATACATAAGAATTGGAGGTGGATCACTTCTAACTTTGATTTCACTTGGTGTAACAATATAGAACGCAGCTTATCCTAGAACATTGCCAGCCTTAAAGTAAGTGGCAGCCTTTGAAAAACAGACAGTATGTGTGCCAACTGAGCTTCACATATTTACGGTACTTCATGATCCCTACTTTAAGGGAAAGTGCAGTGCCTGATGAATATAAATGTGAAGAAAGTGGTATCACTTAGTATCACTTCCCACCAATCTGAATAGTGTGACGTGAGAACTACCAAAACTTGTTATTGTTGAATTTTGATAAACAGCTATTCTAAGTTAAATGAGCTAATATCTGAGAAAAACGGGTTATCCATATTTTTTTAAATGGAGTTCCAATCCTATTGCACTGTTTGTTGTTGAAATGTGGGAAGAATATTTCCTAGTTACAAAAAATCAGGAAGGAAGGAAGGAAGGAAGGAAGGAAGGAAGGAAGGAAGGAAGGAAGGAGAGAGAGAGAGAGAGAAAGAAAGAAAGAAAGAAAGAAAGAAAGAAAGAAAGAAAGAAAGAGAAAGAAAGATGATAGATGAATGGATAGATAGATAAATAGATGATAAAAAAGATAGATAAATAGAAAGATAGATAGATAGATAGATAGATAGATAGATAGATAGATAGATAGATAGATAGATACTAAGGTGCATTTTGCTTCTGGATTTTAGTGTTTAATTTGTGCTGCTGTGTTTTAATTCATTATTTACTATTTCTCATTTTGAGACTATATTGGTAAAATATTTTGTAAATTTATTATAAATACAAAAATAATTTTGTGTCTCAAGTCTATGAGAGTGTGATCCGTTTTTATATTAATATTGGCTTTTTTCTCAAGCATAGAACTCCACATATTTGCGCCACATATTTGCAAATATAGCTCCTCTTTAAAAAAACCAAAATAAAGGGGGGGCGGGAAACCATATTTGAGAACAATTTAACTCCCTTACAAAAGGAAGCATTATATACTAAGAGTTCTATGGAATTTTTTCCCTCCCTCCAGAATGAGGAAGTGAGATTCGTTGAGAGTGAACTGGAGCATCAAAAACAGAAGTATTTTGAACTTCAGGCTTTCACGAGAAGCTTGATACTTGCTGTCAAAACAGATGATAAAGATCAGCAGCAGGTAAGACTGAAAAAAAAAGGGGGGGGACTTTTGTCACTTTTAAAGAGACCGAAGTCCTCTGCTATGAAGCTATAAGCAGGCTTCAGTGGATCTCCTAGTGAGAACAACTCTCTGCCACTAATGTTATACACGTAAATATATACACAGCGAGGATGTTGCCTCCGACTATTTCTTTATGGTAGAGCTTTTTAAATATAGATTGCAGAGATTGGGACGCATTCATTTTATCCGTTAAATATTTATGCCACCCTTCTCCCCTACCAGGTGACTGAGTGGTTTGCAAGTCACCAAAACAAGCAAAAAATAGTTAAAACTATTAAAAGGTTAAAATGACAAACATTAAAATACCATTAAAACGTTACTACACGAGGTATGTCCTGAACGAAATAAAATGCATGAAATGAATTCCACTGAACGAAGAACTTCAGAAAGACCACTCTTTTTTTTTTTTTTACAAATTTTATTTATAATACAGTTAAAAAGAAACAAACATTGGATTTAACGTGACATTCCAGTATATACATTCTTATCAGATTATTCCACTTTTTACAATCAATTCTTCATCTCTACATATACATCTAAGTTTTATATACAACACTTATTCTAAAATAACATATATTTCTATCTTAACATTAATCTTTAATCCCGACTGTCCTCTTCAAATTCCTCCAACGGTAAAATTTATCCCAGGTTTCATAATAAATTGATCCACATTTGTCTTTTAATATCATTGTGAGCCTGTCCATTTCCGCATGTGCTAATATTTTAGGTATTAACTCTTCCTCTGTGGGAATTTCCTTGCTCTTCCATTTTTGCGTAAAAGCAAAGAAAGGCCACTCTTGACCCAGCATCAACAGACTCATCCTATCATTTGGTCACTCACTATTTTGTCTTCCTGGGCTGAGTCCCTTTCCTTTGGCGGGGGACACACATTAGACCTAGTTTGGGTGTTGGAACAATTGAGACATGAACAGGGAAGGCCAAGATTGAAAACATAACAGAATGACAGAGCTGGAAGGTCATCTAGTCCAGCCCCCTGCTCAAGCAGGAGACCTTATACCAGTGGTTCTCAACCTGTGGGTCGGGACCCCATTTGGGGTCGAACGACCATTTCACGGGGGTCGCCAAACAATGCAGTCCCCCATTTTTTTCCCCTTTTGCTTAGCTGTGCTACTCCCTTTTATTCTATTGGCTTTTGAAAGCCAATAGAATAGACTTTCTTGAATAGAGTCTAATTCTATTAGCTTTCAAAAGCCAATAGGAATTGTCCAGGCTGTCTCTGCCCTGCTGAGCCCGCCAAAAGTCCCATTCTGCAAATGGTGCTGCACCAGTTGAGTAGTCCTCGACTTACGACCGGTTGAGTAGTCCTCGACTTACGACCGGTTGGGGGGGTCGCGGCATTAAAAAGGTTGAGAACCACTGCCTTATACCATTTCAGACAAATGGCTGTCCAGTCTCTTCTTTAAAAGCCTCCAGTGATGGAGCAACCTACCGCGAGCCATTCCACTGGTTCATTGTTGATGTGGTTGGTGCCCCGAACTCCTAAGAATAAACGGCCACTTGTCATTATTCCCATTTTCTTTGCAATGCAGGCACTTCTAGCCGATTTACCTCCCGAATTGGAAGAGATGGATTTCAACCATACATCTCCAGAACATGACGATACCTCATTCAGCTTGTCCTCTTCATCCGAAAAAAATGCCTTGGACAGTTTGTGATCTTTTTGACAAAGGAAACCCACGCAGTATAGTTTGTCTCATGTGTATATGTTTTGAACCGATTTCGTTGGGGGGGTTAACCGATATCCTTAAAATATGAAGGAAGAACGTAGGGCGGGAAAGCCGGTGAGCCAACTGTATATTGAGGGCATTCTGATAGTTTTGTTGTGGATAAATGTGAACGCTACTTGAAAGCTGCTCCGGGCAGCTCTCTCTTTGACGATGGTACCTTCGTAATAACATGAACTTAATAATAAAGCCCTTGAGCTAATGAGGGCACCGAGAATGGAAGAATAATAGTTAATTATGTTAATAACTCTACAGTCCTTCCTAATGTTAACCCGTCAGTCCTACAGTGTGATATTTTGCCTTTTCTTGTTCTTTTCCCCTTCTCAGGTAGATGGACTGATCGCTGGAAATTATGGGTTTCAAGAGATCACTGGGGATAAGTTGGGCCTTCATTCAAATGATGATCATTCTAACCAGGGATCAGACAAAGAAGTATTGGTCTCTTTTCTCTCTCTTTTTTTTCCCTGTATATAGCAGCAAATCCTTTTATCTTCTCTTCATCTTGGGATGATGAAATATCCTGGAATATTTTCATTACTGAAAAAAAAAAGCAAATCTATTTATCTTAGCTCTTAATAAATTATTTTGTGTATATCAGCAGGTGGAAATTCCAAACAAGCAAACAAACACATGACTCTTTTAAGTGCACAGTTCAGAAAAGAAAAAAACAATTTCCAGTTGCACAGCCTTCCCCTTTAGTACACTGTAGAGATTGGTAGTAATAATCCCACAGAGCTGCAAAGATCCAGTATATATCCATGTCTGAAGGTCTGGCAGATGCTTGTGGCTTACTTACAAGTGACTGGTCCCTGAGCAAGCCTCCTATGAAAAAGATGAAAATGCGTTTGGCGGAAATTGTGACTCAAGAGAAGAAAAAAAAAACTTCCTAAGTGGTGTGAGACATGTTGATGAGAATTCTCTTGAAGGGGAGATATATATTCCTGGACTTTTCATGTGGAGCAGTTACTTAGTCCATATACTTACTAAGATAATTGGTTTTTTTTTTTTAAACAAACAAACCAGCTAGCAAACACTAATTTATGGATTAGTTCTGAATAGAATGTAGCAAATGTACAACACATTTATGCAGCCAAGTTATTTTGATCGATTTGTTAGGCAATTAGTAGGCCGTGTAGACCTGACCTCAGTGAGAAATATATTGGAGTTCTACATCTTTGCTGTATGCATCAAAATGCTCAGAATAACTTCTAAGAGTCCAATGCATAATTTGACCATTGTCCTCTTTTTCAACTACTGCTGGAAACTTAAGATTAATGTTTAATCTTAAACTCTTTTTTTTTTTTTTAGAATTTTGATCTGAAGTTATGTATGTCGTGTCTTAAATAGGATAATGAAAATGTTACTTACCAGTTTGTATGCTTTGTTCTTTGGGATAGTATTTAACTGATTGATTAGGTGCTTGTCAAGTCCATGTTGACTCTTAACGACCGTGTAGGTAGGCTTTCTCCAGGCTGAGATGTCCTCGGTGTGGCCTTTTAAGGTCTCTCAGTGCTGGCATTCACAAAAAATGTAAGATAAATAAGAGAGGCTCTGTTGATGCTCCGTAGCACAAGCCTGGAAGGCACAGTTTTTACATTCTGCGGAAATGTTGGTAAGAAAACTGCTGTGTAAGAAAACTGTCCCCCCCCCTTTTCTAGAGTCCCCTTGTGCATTATTCGTAAATTCCAACTCACAAATTTCCTCACCCCAGCTGCCACTGCCTCCCTGCCCTCTTCCTTTCTTTGCATTTTCTCTCTCTGCTCTCTTCCTAGTTGCTCTCTAAGAACGAAAAGCACAGGAGAAGCAAGATTGCAACTCCCTTTTTTAGCCTAAGAAGATGTTTGCCACGGCTGTGAGGGAAGGGTTTTGCGACTTCACATCTTGCAAAGGATAAATTAAGAGGGTGTTTCTTTTTTCCCCCCTGTCTAATCACACCTCTGGGTGGAAGCGAATGTACTCAACTAGGAGCAATGATGTATTTCCTCTCAAGTAAAGGTAAAATAGAGCGGTGGGCTTGGGTGCCGTTCTGCATCAAAATCCGATGCCAAAGAAGGCTGTATTCTTTTGGCCCACATAAATTATGCAAATTTATTGGACACGGGATAATTAGGGCTTCCCCCCCCTTTTTTTAATACTATCATTTGCTTTCTCTGCTGTTCCCCTACCTCCAAACACTGGAAAGCTCATGAAGGCCACACCTCTGGCTTCTGAGTTTTCAGCAAGCATTCCTTAAAAGTTTGTATAGCACAATTAGCAGCAATAAAACTAAATCAGTGAGATTCTCAAGACGCTGTTCTAGGCTCACCGCCATGTTGATCATTACGTCTGCATCACATGGCCTTTGTGACTTGTTTCTGGAGTCATGAAATGCAGCTTGAAGTGCTCGTCGTCAGCACTACACGCATTTTAAAAATAAAACATGAATGTAAAAGGTAGGAAGCAGGCTGGGGCAATGCATGATAAGGCCGGCCTAATAGAGAAGGATGGTTGTGATGGAGAGCCCGAAAGATGACAGGGAAAGATCTGCAGATCTGAACTGCATATTGTTTTTAGGGCAAGCACCTGTTCTTTCAAATCCCATTTCTATTTGCATTTGCTTAGCCCAGGGGTCTTCAAACTTGGCCCTTTTATGACTTGTGGACTTTAACTTCCAGAATTCCTGAGCCAGCGTGCCTGGCTGAGGAATTCTGGGAGTTGAAGTCCACAAGTCATAAAAGGGCCAAGTTTGAAGACCCCTGGCTTAGCCAAATGCACCGCAACTGATGTTAGGAGGAGAGGGGATGTCACAAAGACCTCCAGGATTACTTAGGCCAGTGTTTCTCAAGATGTGTGGATTGCTGTGCTGGCTGGGGAATTCTGGGAGTTGAAGTCTACACGTCTTACAGGTACCAAGATTGAGAAACATTGATCTGGGCCAGGTGTGTCCAACCTATGGTCCACGGGCCACCTGCGGCTCAGGACAGCTAGTAATGAGGGTCCAATAAGACTGTAAACTTTAACATCATTGTAAACTAGATAACATCATCAGTAGCACTGATAACATTATCTAGTTTGGGGAATGAAACATCTGCAAGAAAACAAGCAAGCTCAGAGAGCACCAAGGACCCCTCATGGTCAACTTTTAACCTTATGTGATTTATATACATTTAACTCTATTCTATATTTTACATTCGGCCCAAGACAATTCCTCTTCATTCAGTGTGGCCCAGACAAGCCAAAAGGTTGGACAACCCTGATTTAGATACTTCTTGTGTTTAATCAAAGAGCAGCAATCCAGACATCACAAATGGGGGTTGGAGTGGAAATGCAAGTTGAATAGTGTTTTGAAAGAACTGAAAAGCTATTTCATACAAAAGGGTGGGGGTTTTTTTGTTGTTGTTGTTTTTGTATTTAGCTACCTCGGATATAGATACCCATATTCCTAAGCTATAAAGATGCCTTTCAGCTTTGCAACGGTTCTAGAAATTCTACGGAAGGCTTATATATTGTTTAGGCAAACCTTTTGGTGAACTGGAAACCGTTATTTTCACCAGTAACTTGTGTAGCACTTTGGTTTGTGTATGCCTAGCTCCAACTTCAAGACACTTATTTTGACTTTTAAAGGCATGACGCTGGCTAGCAAATCCCTGGCTTCCAGTGTGATCTAAATACAACTCTGTAAATTATATGACTTTTTTTTTTTTTTTGTAATGGCTTGGAGTTCCTTTATGCTTGCGCATCCTTTGATGCTGAATGTATGATCTGAGTCTACAGTGCAAATGCTTGTCTTTAAAACGGATTTGTTGGAGAACATACGTCGTGTCTTCTCGAGCTGAGATGTCTCACTGAGGCTTCATTTGATGTTAAGGCTCCTCAAATGACGAGAATATGCATTTTATTTATTGTCTGTATTAAAAATAATTTCCAAGACATCCTTCCAAACCTCCCAACAGTTTGTAATAAAATCGCTGAACGTGTGTTTGAACGGGCTGGCCCACGTCCACTGGAACTGTAGCCCTTCCAGGTTGTCCTCGACTTAACAGCCATTTGTTTAGTGACCGTTACAACGGCATGGAAACGAATGACTTATGACCGTTTTTCAGACTTACGGCCGTTGCAGCATCCCCATGGTCACGTGATCAGGATTCAGGCGCTTGGCAGCCGACTCATATGTAGGACGGTTGCAGCGTCCCCAGGGTCACGTGCCCCCCCCCCAGATTCATTTAACAACCGTGTTACTAACTTAGTAACTGCAGTGACACAACTACCGTTGTGGCAGGAAAGATCCAAAAATGGGGCAAATCTCACTTAACGATTGTCTCTCGCTTAGCAACCGAAACTTTGGGCTCAATTGTGGTCATTAGTCAAGAACTACCTGCATTATTTTCAAATCCAAAAAGGGGTCCTTAGAGAAAGCTGTGGTTAAAAGGGCGATATTTTAACCAGAACGTAGTGTAAGGAGCCATTTTTTATTTCACGATCTTTCATACTCCTTGTTTCTCTCCTTCTCTGAAGCCTGGGAACTTTGTGATAGGAAGGCTTGTGTATCTTTTAACAATTGCACTGAATGGCGATACCTTTAATAGAATCCGATTCTTCTGGGCTAATACAAGAGATCTCTTTCCTTTTCCTCTGGACACTCTCTCATTGTCCTCCTTTTTTAAAAAAAAAACAAAACAAAAACACAAAAGCAACAAAAGATTACTGCTGATACCTCTGCTTGGACCGTGATCCAATAAGCTGTGGTTTAAAAACATTAAATCATATTGTACTTCATAATGTCCATCTTGGTATGTGTGTGAACACTCCATTGTTCACTATTTTCAGGGAAAAGGTTGAAACTGCATGTCTATGGAGATTCTCCTTCAGCCAGGTCATGGTTGCCCCAAAGGTGCTTTTTCCAAAAGGCAACTGGACTTTCTTGGTTTTTTCCTTTGAAAATGTTTTGCTTCTCATCCAGTGAGCTTCTTCAGTTCTTCAGGTTTAGTTCAGTTCAGTTCAAGGAGAGAACCAGCCTAGAACTAAGGAGAAATTTCCTAACAGTGAGAACAATTAACCAGTGGAATGGCTTGCCTCCAAAAGTTGTGGGTGATCCATCACTGGTGGTGGCTTTTAAGAAGAGACTGGACAGCCACTTTTTTGGAATAGGCTCTCCTGCTTGAGCAGAGGGTTGGATTAGAAGACCTCCAAGGTCCCTTCCAATTATTTCTATTATTCTGTTATCTCCCTTTTGGAAAAAGCATCCTTGGGATAGATTGAACCTACATATGAACATTAAAATTGGTAAGTAATAGATTCCATTACTTACCCTTTTGCAGCATGAATTCTGGTGTTTCATGGGAAGATCATCATCTTGGTTGCCAGGAGACATCAAACTTGAACCTTAAATACATTTAAGTGTTATTTTGTTTGGGGAAAAAATGTGGGATGTTATAGACAAAGAGCTTTAGCAAAGTTAACATCTGTTATATGAAATGTTTTATTGGATTATTTAATTTACATAATACTTAAGACCCACATCTACACATACATTTTACAGGCTACCTCTGCAAGATGATGCAACCTTGGATGTGCACTAGATCAAGAGTCTTCAAACTTGGCAATTTTAAGACTTGTGGACTTGAACTCCCAGAATTTCCCAGGCAGCTGGCTGGGGAATTCTGGGAGTTGAAGTCCACAAGTCTTAAAGGAGCTAAGTTTAGAGACCCCTGTAGTAGACTTATAATATGACTTCTTGGTACATTTGAAATTATCCAATAATTTCCAACTATTGGTTCGGGAAGAAAGGAACGGGTCATTTTTTTTTCCTCCCAAATATTGTCATCTTTTGCTTAGATGGCTCTTTAATGTTAACAGTATGAAATTAATTGGTGTTTTTATGAATGGGAAATTGGAAAGAAGCTTAGCAGCACTTTTGATGTGTTACCAAGTAAACATGGCAGCATATCGTGGAGCTCCCAGCTCAATTCAGAAGAACGTTGGTGTGTCCATATGATGGGCAACAGTGTTTGCATATGCATGTAAGAGATTCTATGAAAGGGAAATATATTCTACAACAGTGTTTCTCAACCTTGACAATTTTAAGGCATGTGGACTTCAACTTCCAGAATTCCACAGCCAGCAATGCTGGCTGTGGAATTCTGGGAGTTGAAGTCCACATGTCTTAAAATTGTCAAGGTTGAGAAACACTGTTCTACAATAAAGGTACAGCTGACTGGGGAAAGCTCCTTCAAGAGGTCCATTGATATGAATGGGTGCTGTTGAGTTTCCCCACAGGAATGTGCCTTAACTGGATCTTAATCACTGAATTAGTTTCAGAATTGCCCCTACTTTTAAACTGCTCACTTACGGCCTTACAATAGGCGCCTTTCCGCTGCCGATGCAAACTGCT